TGATTTATAATGATTCTAGTAATGTACAGGGCCATAGAGGTATTTTGGTAAATTACAAGTTTATAAGACTGTGTTTTGGTAACACAATGTATTATAAGTATGTCAGTCAATTTTTTTATGTCATGCATGTGTGTGTATAGTTCTCTCCCCTAAATTGAAAAAGAAAAGTAAATTACGATCATTATATAATAAACACAAATTAAGAATAAGATATACAACTTTTCTACATGTTAAATAACAATGACATATCACCATCTTCTCTAAAAACACAATCTTGTCATGTTAACATTATGCCATAATGCAATCTCAACAACTAATAAAAATTTAGTGCTTATGGTGCACCTTGCCATATAATAGCATCTCCTATGACTTTACATGCTTCAAGTATGTGAAGAAACAAAAATCAACTCCTCTCTACCACAATAATCAATGCACATTATATAACAAAAAGAAAGAAAACTATATGCCACATCATCCTCCCATCTTCTTCTTTCTTCTCCTTTCTTCTTCTTCCTTTCTCATTTCTTTTTTCAAGAAAAGAATCCCTAATGGCCAAACCATCCATGGAGTTTTAGACCATTTTTGACTTCATATTTTTAAAAGAAAATGAGATATGCTGGAGACTTGGTGGTGCTAAGCAAGAATCTGAAGCATTTTTCCAAGATCAAGAGTCAGTAGGGATTTTTTTCATCTAAGCTCAATTATACTTCTAAAGCTCTATTTTTCTTTTCATTTAAATTCTAATCCTTGCATTTTCATGATAAAAACATCATTTTTATGTCATAAAACTTATATTTCGTTCATGGTTTTAAAACTTGCATTTTCTTGATTTTTAGGAAGTGAAACATCCAAAAGCAAGGGGGAAGGAAGTGGTAGAGACTTCATTTTAGAGAATTGTGTGTTTTCTTCCATTAGATATATATTAGGTTGTAAATGTGTTTTAAGACCTTCTTTTTATGCTATATATGTAGAAATATGCTTAAGATTTCATATTTATGCATTTTCCATAGTTATTTGAATTTCATGCTCTTGCTCTCATGTTAACCGAACCTATTAGTTGTTGCCTCTCTAATATTTTTGCTTGAAAATTCTATTTTGGAGTCATAAATCTTGATTTCATGAGATTCAGGTACTATAGACTTGATTTGTTGAGTTTATACGATGTTTTTTAGAGGTGTTCCTAAGAGAGACCGGACCTCTCTAGCTTGGAATCTCTTATTGGCTAATGATCTAATCTTGTTAATATGCCATTTATTGATGAAATATGTGATTTTGTAAAGATAAATGTGTGAATATGCAATGATTATCAAAGTGGCCGAACTCCCCATGATGAAATTATGGACTATAATTGAAACTTTTCCAAAGACTTGCCACTAATTTCCTATTCTTGGTGAAGTTAATGGAACAAATTGATGATTAAAGGACCAATTATGGAGGTAATGTGGACTTATTATTGATTTGACCATTAAAATTAATTGAACACTTAATTAATTAATGCCTAATTATAGATATGAGGCCATTGGACTTGATGAGCATTATAATTGTAATTGAGATCTTAAAAGTGGATTAGTTTTACACTATGATAAAGTAATTAGGTCATATGTCTATTTATTCCAACGTGGACGCAACTTATAATTTATAAGACTAAATGGACCAAAACTGTAAAATGAATATAATTAGGGTGATAATTAATTAGTAGGACTTAATTAATTGGCTAGGTATATTATAATTAATTGATTAGGTGATTAAAGAGAAATATTTAGATTAATTAAGTGAATAAATGGTTAATAATAGAAATAATAAGATTTTATGGTTATTAAATTAATTAGATAGTTATTAGAATGAGTTAGTAATTAAAAATGAATTAGCGGGTTTAATAAATCTCATTGGATCAATTGATATATTAATTGATCAATTTAAGTCTGAATTATGATATTATAAGGAAATATAAGAGTTGTGGATTAATAAGGTGATTATTTATTATGTTGAATTTAGTGTATTGGAATTTGTGCCAAAATCTTGGAAATTATGATTATTAGGAAATTATATGTGCACTATGTGAAATAATACCATAATTAAGAAATGTGATTCATGGAATTTGATTATGGTGAAATATTTTATTATTAAAATATGATTTTAAAAAAGGAATAATTTTCAGACTATATTAAAATATATCGGTATAATTATGAGACTAAAGATTTTATTATGAATACCGTTACAAATATGATATGAAAAGAATTAAATACAATTACCAGAACTAATTTACATGGTCAATATCAGTGATAGTATAGAGATATGATATGCGATAGAATTTAATCATTATTGTCTATGATTTTCACCGATAAATCATAAGATATTGTTACGGATTTTTTTGAGTTCCGGATCGTATGATGTTTTCGGCTATATTTTAGCTCATCAAAATCTTATTCTTGTTTTAGCACAGGAAGTAATGTTTCTATTTTTTAAATTATAGAAATAAGGAATTTTGATATTAATTAAAACTGATTTCAGAATCTTTATTATTTGGACATCAATAGGAAACCATACATAGTTTTATAATAATAATAATAATAATAATAATATCTTCTATGAAGATTTTCGTGTCTAAAACAATCCATTGTTTCTCGGTATAATAATATTTTTTAAACAAATTTTTCATATTGCAGATTTTACCTATTTTCTTCTTCAATAGAATTATAGTATAGCATTTGAATTGTTAAATTTAATTGAATGGTGAATAATATTATATTTTTGGTAATTAATTATATTTTTTGTTGCCTAGCATCACCAAAAACAAACCCTAGCGGTCTCTTTTTCTCTGGCCCTCTTTTTTTTTTTGTGTTCTTCTAAGTTTTATTTTTAAACCGCTGTCAAATATCTTCTTTGGTCGGCGACGGTTGGTGTGTGATTTCTTTTTGTCATTCTCTATTGTTTTTCTTTATTTTATTTAATTTTTTTCCCAATAATTTTCAAATTATGATTGTTTGGAACAAAATTTGGATTTAGTCTCTTATATCTATGATAATTGATATATCTTAAGTGTTTTTCATACTCTCTTAGTGGGGTTATTAATTTCTCTCCTTTCATGGGGTTATCGCTCGTTATTGAGAAGTTATTATGTGGATCTTTTGTTTCTCTGGCGGTTCGAAATACAAGATGGATTGTTGGTTACTTGTGGTTTGGATTTCAGATCTTCAAGTTTGGGTAAATTTCTTTTATTAATGGAGTCTGATAGTACGGCATGTTCCTCCATTAAAGTTTAGTACACTAAACTTTTCTGCGGGTGTTAGTTGTAATAAGTTTTCGAAAAAATAATAATGTGTACAATATTATAAAAGGTTCCTTTTATTGTCATATTTGAAAATGAATCAATTTTTACTTGGAAGATTAACATCTTCTGCCAAGATCAAGAACATCCAAACAAAAGATTTCAATTTTTTATATTTGTATTTCTTATTTCTATAGGAATATCATGATATACTCAATTTATATTTTTTTTATTATTAAATTTAGTCCTTTTTTATCCTTTTTATAAAAGTTATTTAGTGTTTAAAACCCTATGTTCTAAATTGTATTTTAAAATATATTTAAAATATTGTATACAAAAAATTCGATTGAATCGTATTGAACCTAATCGAACCTTCTAGTTCAATAACCTCCAGCCTTCACTGGTTTTGACCAGCCCGATTCTCACGTATTGGCATTGCTTAATATTTTATAAGAAGAGTGACTTTTTCTTGTCAAAGTTGTGGTTTACAAAATAAGAGGTTCAATTTCAAAAATTTTATAGTATCTCTTAATGTTTTGTAAGAAGTGGCTTTTCCTTGTACAAACGTTGATTAAATATTTATAAAATGTTATTTTTCAATTACAAAAATAGAATATTTGGAAAAAAAATGTAAAACATTGAAACAAAATTATATAAAGCCTTAAAACATTGAAATAAAATTATATAAAACCCATTAAATATAAATCCATAATTTTATTGTTTAATTATCATTCTCATATTTAGAAAAATTAAAATTAAAATATATTATTTTATTAGCTTAATTTTTTAAAAACTCTAATTTTTGTATAACTTTGATTTAATACTATTTGTAATTTATAATTAAAATGTTGGTAAATGTATTTTTATTTCACTATAAGTGAACATTAGAAGAGTTATATTTATAATTAATTAATTTTATTGCAAGACTATTTTATATAAATAAATTTATTTATATATTAATTTTGTTATATAAATATTTTTAAATTATATAATGAATTTTGGTGGGTACTTGGTGCCCACAACTTTAAACTCACATTTGAGCCAAATCTGTGGTGGATGACTAATTTAACATTCATACCCGTCACAAACCATTTATTAACTCAAATCTGCTTTGAATGAATTTTTACGTATCGAGTATTCATGAAAAACCCTTTATGGATCGGGTACTTGCGAAAACTCTTTGCTGAATTTATAATTCCCTTTATTCGTTCATTACTTTTCAATTGATTATTTTTAAATTTATTGCAACACATTGCGAGTATTTCTTTTGCATTAAAAGATTGAAAGAACTAGATAACCGATGTAAAAATGAAAAAAAATTAGAGAAAACAAAAAAAAATATTAAAGAAAACCTCCTTGAGTTTCCTTGGAACTCATATAAAATTGGGATATGGATGGAATATAATGAAATAGAGCCACTTTGAGGTTCCCTATGAAATGAGGCATGGAACGAAAACACTACGTACAAGATTAATTTTAGTGATAATCCCACTATTTAAAGCTCTGCACTCAACTGTCTACACGTCTATTTGTAACTTAAAAATACTTTAAATTTAATAATGTAATACTGAAAATGGGTTTGGCCGTTTTAATTAATATTTCGACGTGGAAAAACCACGAGGATAATATGCGGCATATAAAAAAAATTAAACATTATCCAAGTAGCATATTATATTTATTTTTTCAAAATATTTTTGAATAATAAAAAATCATATTGAACTAATAAATTTAACCGAATCTAATATCTTGATCACAGGAGGGAGAAAGAGCAAAAAGCTCTAGAACCCTTCTCCCTCAATCGCACAATCTACAATCTCCTCTTTGCCACTCTCTGACTACTAACCGATAGGCACGAGGCGGCGATGAACTCCTCTTGCGACTGTGGTCCCATTTCTAGCTTTCCATTCGTCAATTGAAGCTTATCTTGTCCGAATCCAAGTCATCTCCTCCAATAACTTTTTTTGATTTTCCAAAAAAAAGCACCATTTTCTGGCCACTTTAAGTCTGAATACAGGTACCAAATATTTTCTCTTATTTTAATATTTCATTAGATTGCTTCCTTGTTAATTTTTACAGCCAAATTTGAAAACTAAGAGTTCTATCATTGAATTGACTCGGAAGAAATCCAAAAATTATAGCTTTATCAAAGGGCTTCATTTTGCTCCAATTCTTCTAGGATGGCAATGGCAAGGTGGTGGAGATAGAAATGAAGAGTGGAGTCCGGGGCCTGAGGAGGTGGAGATGAAGGGTGGAGAGTCCATTCCTTAAAGCTTTGAGCTCCATCATTGAATTCTTTTTTTTTTCTTTGTATTTTTGGGTTACTGATAAACTTGAGTATTAAGGAGGAGGAAAATGGAGAATTTACTGGATCGTCTTTTTTTTTTTTTTTTTTTTTTTTTTTTTTTTTAGAGTTCAATCAATTGGAAGACGCGGAAGAATCCAAAAATTATAGCTTTATCAAGCGGCTTTCATTTTTGACGTCCAATTCTCTAGGAGGGCAAATGCAAAGGGTGGTGGAGAAGAAAGAAGAGTAGTCGGGGCCTGAGTGAGGTGGATGATGAGTGGAAGTCCATATCCTTAAAGCTTTGAGCGCCAATCAATAGAATTCTTTTTGTTTCTTTGATGTGACTGAATAAACTTGAGTATTAAGGAGAGGAAAATGGAAATTTATCTGATGACGTCTTTTTTATTTTTTATTTTTGGTTTTTTGGTGGCAAAAAAAGCAGAATAAAAAAGCTTTTTTTTTTTTTTTTTTTTTTTTTGGTTTTTTGGTGGCAAAAAAAGAGCAGAATAAAAAGCAAAAATCTATCTCAAAAAGTTAATGCCACAAGTATCGGCCCGAAGAATCAAAGACAAAAAACTAGGACTAGTTTTCCAAATGAATAAAGAAGAAGGGATGGCATGTCTCAACTTAACCAAATGATCAGCCGCAGAATTAGCTTCACAAAAAACATGTTGGAAAGGACACTCTCAATCATGAGTCATCAAGCTCTGAATATCTAAAATAAGAACAATCAAAGGATGAGCTATAGATAACCCTGAGCTCACTAGCCTAACAGTCTCCAAACAATCAAACTCAATAACAACCTTATGGAAACCACGGTCCCAAATAAGAATAAGCTCTGTCCGAATAGAGGATAACTCACCAACTAAAATAGTAGAGTGACCAATATTAAGAGAATAGCCTCCAAGCCAACTCCCCTGCAATCATGGAACACGCTACCACCACTAGTCAACCCCAGATTAGTAAGACTACTCTCCTAAGGCTTTACCCAAGCGACACAAAACTGTCTACCAACTCTAGCCGAAGCAACAGCAGGAGTAGAAAAATTCACAATATACAAAGCTACTTTAAAGAAAATGGATAATTCATTGGATAGTCTTATTTCATTAGACGAGCTTGTGAATAAAAACAAAAGGAAAATTTTTTTTGTCAAAGTTATAAGTAAAGCTTTTAATTGTACAAAGCTAATTAATTGATAGAAATAAATGAAATTTTTTTAATGAAAAAGGTAATTAATTGAATAAAAACAAATGAAAGTTTTTAATTATTTAAAGGTAATTAATTATTCAAAACAAAGGTTTTTGATTGAATAAAAAAAGCCCAACAGGAATGTTTTTTTTTTTTTAATTAATTTGATGGAATAAAAAAGTCTACATGTCATACCACTTGGTTTTCTGGCAAAGGAAAATCAATTAAACTGACTAAATGCATTTTTGGTGTTACACAATTGAAATTGAAATATTTTTAAATTAAAAATTAAAGTGCAGACACAGTTAAACACAAAGAATTTAAGTTGAGATTCTTGCAGTGAAGTTAACCCCTTATAGCGAATTCCAAGAATGCAAGGTCTCATATTTGACATTAATAAGACATGTCATTCAAATCTTGTACTTGCAAGACGATTTAATGCAAATCTTTCTCAAGAAATGCAAGGGTTCTCATAATTCGACATTATAAGACATGTCTTCAAATCTCTGTTACTTGCAAGACTGAGTTAATGGCAAATCTTTCTTTTTGATTTTTTTTTTTTTTAAAAATTTTCTATTCTTGCAAACCCAATTTTTGTTGATAAAGTTTGCAATTATTTTCATTCTTGCAAACCAATTTTGTTGATAAAGTTGCAATTTTCAAAAATGTGGGATCCACCGTATTATTGTAAGAAATAGTTGAGAAACTATCTAAACCTATATAATATTTAAAAACAGAAAAGTCTATTTTAAATGACAACCAAATGTAAATATCTCAAATTTTCATTCTTGCAAACCAATTTTGTTAATAAAGTTGCAATTTTTAAGAATGTGGGATCCACCACATTATTGTAAGAAATAGTTGAGAAACTATCTAAACCTATATAATATTTAAAAACAGAAAAGTCTATTTTAAATGACAATCAAATGTAAATATCTCAAATTATCAAAAGTCAAAGGTAAGACATGTCATTTAAATCTTGACATTAATAAGACATGTCATTCATATTTGACATTAATAAGACCTGTCATTCAAATCTTGTCCTTGCAAGACGATTTAATGCAAATCTTTCTTTTGATTTTTTTTTTCAAATTTTCATTCTTGCAAACCAATTTTGTTGCTAAAGTTGCAATTTTCAAGAATGTGGGATCCACCACATTATTGTAAGAAATAATTCGAAAACTATCTAAATTTATATAATATATAAAATAGAAAAATCTATTTTAAATGACAACCAAATGTAAATATTTCAAATTATCAAAGATCAAAGGTAAGATATGTCATTCCAATCTTGACATTAATAAGACATGTCATTCATATTTGACATTAATAAGACCTGTCATTCAAATCTTGTACTTGCAAGACGATTTAATGCAAATCTTTCTTTTGATTTTTTTTTCCAAATTTTCATTCTTGCAAATCAATTTTGTTGATAAATTTGAAATTTTCAAGAATGTGGGATCCACCACATTATTGTAAGAAATAGTTCAGAAACTATCTAAATTTATATAATATATAAAAATAGAGAAGTCTATCTTAAATGATAGTCAAGTGTAAGTCTCTCAAATTGTCAAAGGTAAAAAATAAGGAGAGCAATTATTTAGTATAATTGTAATAAGATAAGTTATAATGACGGCAATTGTAAGAAGATACATTATTTTATATTTTCAAATAATGTTATATAGGAGAGAAAAAAAAGAAATAAAACTAAATTAATATTAATAAGTAAAAATTATTTTATTTGGAAATAAAAAGGAATACATGGAAAAGAATTCTGATAATTTTCTCTTCAAGTTAAAAGGAAAATAAAAACTTATAAAAATAAATTTATAGAGAAAAATTAATATTATTTATTTTTATATCCAAACTGTAATTCCTTCTTAATTTTTCTTAAATTTAATTTTGAAAAATGTCAATATTCAATCCCGATAATTTTCCCTTCAAATTAGAATAAAAATAAAAAACTATAAAAATAAATTTGTAGCGAAAAATTAATTTTATTTTTGTTTTATATCCAAAATTTAGTTCCTTTTAATTTTTTCTTAAATTTAGTTTTCGAAAAATGTCAGTATTCAATAACACAAAAAACAAATTAAAAAATAAAGCATTTCATTTTTTCTTAGTAATAGAAAAAAAAAAAAACCTTGATTAATTAGATTGGTGTATGGAGTAGTCTCATATACCAGAAGCTAGATTGTACGGACACATGATACGAGATACAGGAACATATGCGATACAGTAATTTTTTAAAAAGTAAGACATCCATGCACTTAGGATACATCACACTAAATAAGTATAATACATTAATATTTTAAATAAATAAATAATTATTTATAATAAATTATAAGCATGAAATAAAAAAATACTTAATTTCTTATTTTTAAAAAGTAAGACATTCCCATGCACTTTAGGAATACATCAACACTAAATAGTGTATAATACATTAATTATTTTAGAAATTAAATAATTAATTATTTATAATAATAAAGCATTGAATAAAATAAAATTTAATCTTATTTCAATTAATTAGTTATAATTTCTTTCAAAACTATTCATCACTATTTTCATTAATATTTTAAATAAATAAATAATTATTTATAATAAATTATAAGCATGAAATAAAAAAATACTTAATTTCTTATTTCAATATAATTAGTTAAATTCTCAAAACTATTATCACTATTGAAAAATACATAAACAACGTATGTGCATTTTTTTTATGCTGGTCATAATAGGAGTGTCGAAATGAGTCACAGGAACACGATTCGCCTAACACGCGAAATAAATGTGTTAGGAATGAGGTTAAACAGGTTCATGTCATAAACGAGTCACCCATTAATGATACAAATATAAACGTATCGTATTGCAGATTGACACGCGGACTAGGCGAGTGACCCATTTATGTAAGAGTAAAAAGATAATTTTAGTGTTAGATATACATACTCCAACTATAACCTATTTAAGGTGTTGTATTACTTTTTTTCATTTTAGTTATGAATATTAAAGAATTTATGCATTTTATATATGAAAACTTATTTTAAAATATGATTGAAGTTAAATAGGTTCAAATTTAAAAATATTATAAGCAGGTAAGTGAGTCGTATATAAGTCAACATGACCTACTTAATATGTTTATGATATTAAGCGAGTTACACAAGTTGTATATGAGTCAACACGGTCCACTTAATATGTTTATGATATTAGGCGGGTTAAACGTATCGTGTTCGTGTCGATAAATTTAACACAATTATTAAATTAGTTGTGTTCGAGTTGACCCTAATCATGTGGCATGTTAGGTGAATCTGTGTCGATCCTTACATGCCAATCCATTTTAAAACCCCTAGGTCATACTATGCATGACATTTGCTATTACATACCTTGATAAAAGGTTTCGCATGATACTTAAGAAGACACATCTTACTACTGCAACTTTTTTTAACACATTTCAATAGGATATAATTTTGTAATGCATTTTACAATCATTTTATTATACAATTTTATTATTTTTGAATGATGTTATAGAAGATTATTTCATCCTTTAGGCTCCGTATATTTACGGAAAATAACTTATATTTGGAAAATATTATCCAAGAAAAATGTTTTCCATGAAAAATATTTTCCAAATGACTTATTTTCCGTTGTTTGGTTGCACTATTGAAAATTAGTTAAGAATATTAAAATTTTAACTCATAAGACCATAATAATAATAATATAAATTTCATATTTTAAAAATTTTATTTTAGTTTCAAGAATATTTAAAATTTTAATCCCATAAGGACCATAATAATTAATAAGATAAATATTATCCTCTTAAACAGATTATATTGTTTAAATTGGACAAATAATGCCAAAAAAACAAAATTGTATAAAAGTCATAACGTGACCGTTAGGGGTACTT